ATTATGGTTTCAAAATATTTGCAAAAGGTTTTAATTCCCGAGATCCATGTGATTAGAGAGTGTAGCACTGCTCCTTGCAGCTGAGGGAGAGGTCCTCTCTTGTCGGGCAGTGTTTGATCATTATGGGCTGAGAGGTTAAGTGTAAGACCATTGAGGGTAATACCTGATGGGCTAATGTTGCATCTGCCCACAGTCCCTAGGTTTTATAAGGTGGCTTGGCCCAGGGACCACTTAGTGTAAGTGTTGGGCCCATTAAGAGCCCATGGTGATGGGCTCAGGGGTTCACTGTCCATAGCAGTGAATTCGTCCAGGACTTGTAACAGAGGCTAGGCTGAAGCCATGTGGCTGATGTGTAGATCAATGTTTGGGTCCCACGCTATACAAGGAAGCCCAACTGGGCAGCAGTTTGGAGGCCGAATGAGCACATGGACTTAATGGGCCTAAAGCCCAATTCAAACTGGTATAATTAGATTATTTAAAGAGGGGCAGTTCTGGGATTTAGATCAGCAAATAGGATAGGGAGTTATCCCTATCCACTCAGAGAGTCCAGATCCAAATAGAGATTTGGATCAGGAAGCTCCTAATAAGATTAGGAGGGTTGATCTAATCTGCAGATAAGATAAGGGCTTATCCTTATCTCTTAAAGAGAGTCCAGATCCAAATAAGGATTTGGATTAGGAAACTCCTAATGAGATTAGGAGCTCTTTTTAAGGCTATAAAAGGAGGAGGAGGGCAAACCTCCATACACAAAACTGAATCAGATCTCAGATCACAGGAAGAGAGAAGACAACAACAGTAAGACTACGCCATCTTCTGCTCTTGTGCCCTCCTCCTGCTTCCGCCATTGCCAGTTCGTTCTCCACTGCAGGAGCGATCAAGAAGGGTTCTTGATATCAGTTTTTGGAGGAAAACTGATCTGAAGTCATAGCCTCCATCGAATTCTTGCTGAAGGATTCGGTTCTTGGGAAGAACCACCTGCTGATTCTGCTCCACCCTACACTGTGTCATCTTCAGTGGGAGCAGTCTTTGGAGTTTTCCTTGGGCGTGAACACCTATGTTGGGAGTTATTGCTACTCCGTATTAGGTATATCCCTCTCCTACGTTTTGGTTTCAGATCTGGTTCGGTTTAGGTTCAAGATTGATCCTTGAAAATGCAGATTTTCTAAAACAGGGAATGTGATTCCCACATGGGAGAGAGAGAAATTTTTGAAATTCACCCAACCTACTTTTAGGGTTCGACCATCCATATGATGGATTTCTCATCCCTTCAGGGACTTGTTGATGGGGTTGTACACATGCTATCAAGGATGGAGGAGCTCCTTGGAACTTCCAAGAAAATTTTAGGTGTTAATGAAATACAACCAAAAAGAATGGTTTGTAATTAATTGTTTGCATTCCTAAAGGTAGACAAGGCATGGGATTACGGATTATGGCAAAATGGATTCAGGAATTTCTGTTGTTCAAACAAGAAGGATCACCATTTTCTCCCAACAATGATAGTCCGCCAGTGAGCCTAGGCCAAGTGACCGGACCATATCCAATAAGGTCCTATTCCTCCTCTCTGAAACACTGTTTAATTGTGGTGTAGCAGGAGGAGA